GCTCTCTTGCCTTTTTAGGTTATGAGGGTCTCTGTGTGTTTAGGATAATATGATTGACGGCTCCACTCCGGCCCCAATTAGCACCCTATAATTTATTAGCTTCTGCTTTCAGATTATGCGCTAACTTCACAAATATTTCAACCACGGAAACAGCGGCTATCAAGTATCTCTTTCCTGATCCAGCTTACTGGGACTGCAGTTAAATACAAGGAGGGAGCTGTGCAGGTCTGTCAAGAGAGAATAATCATTTGTTTCTGTGTGCAACTGGGGCTGTCGCAGCTCTTTAGGACTCAGCGTGCGGAAAAAAGGGGGTTGTTCCACTGGAGCGGGGATTAGGGCTTGGTTTCTACCACAAGGGTATGGTGCAGGATTGAGGCCAATGTGCTGGCTCTTCTGGAGAGGGTCTATGTTTGCCCAATTCTGTTTATCATAGAGATACTGATACTTCAACTTCATGCAAACAGCATTGATAGGAAAGTTTGTGTCCCTCCTAATGGCGTTCCTTTGCTCCTCATTGCTACAGCATGGGGCCAGAGTAGTAACTGCAGGAGGGAAGAGGCTGGGTGAGGCGGGAGAACAGAGAGAGGATGAGGTGCAGGGTCAGGGCTGGGGCCAGAAGTTGAGGAGAGGAGCAGTGGAGAAGTCGGGGGTGCGGGGGGTGATGAACGAGGAGGGCATCGTGCAGCCATACCTGGGCCAGGTGGGGCAGGAGGAAATGTGCAGTGGGGAGATGGGGCACCCTCAGTAACGTCCAGCGTGGTATTACATCTCCTAATGCTTCAGCTCTCCTGTTTGGTATTTATCCTGCCTTTACCATGAATGTAAATAAGCAACCGACACGTCCCCAGTTAAACGCTCCAGCCCTCAGCCAGCCTGTGTTTTTGTGGGCTGCAGCCGAGCACGGCAAAGGGAGGTGCCTGTGCACAACAGCGGGGCCCAGGGGCACGCACCCCTGCACCCCTGCACCCCTGCACCCCTGCATCCTGCACCCCTGCATCCTGCACGGGCTCCTCCAGCGCCTTCCCCTTCTCCTGCAGGACCTGATGCAGAGAGGGCAGGGGCAGGAGGAGGGGGTCTCTCTGTTACAATTAGCACTCACAGGTTCGGTGCGCATTATTCACAGATTATGCCTGGCTAAGGAGGCAGTAGAAGGTGCACTGCAAAGGTAGCTCCTCCGGTATGATTAGAGACGGACAGGAACAGGGGGACCTTGCTAGCCTGAGCTGCTTGTCAGTACAGTCGGTTTAGAGAACGATCTTACCGTGCTGGGAACTAAATTAACAATACACTTCCCAAGGCTGTAGCCCCAAAGCTTGAGGGCTGACTGAAGTAAAGCTTTTCTTTTTCTTTTTCTTTTTCTTTTTCTTTTTCTTTTTCTTTGTCTTTTTCTTTTTCTTTTTCTTTTTCTTTGTCTTTTTCTTTGTCTTTGTCTTTTTCTTTTTCTTTTTCTTTTCTTTTTCTTTTTATTTTTCTTTTTTCTTTTTACATTTTCCTTTTTCTTTTTTCCTTTTCCTTTTTCTTTTTTCTTTTTCTTCTTTTTTCTTCCTTTTTTCTTCCTTTTTTCTTTTTCTTCTTCTTTTTCTTCTTCTTTTTTCTTTTCCTTTTTCTTTTTTTCCCTTTTTTATTTCTCTTTTAATGATCCCCTGTTCCCATTTCCCTATGCAAAATTGCCTAGCCTACAAAATCAGTACCTCATTCCTCCAAATAATCACAACGCAAATCTCTCTCCTTCCCCTGCTGCAAATGCTCCTCTGCGTGGCAGGCCAGGGAAGCCAGCCAGGACACCACAATCCCCCAGAGGAGCCGGCTTGCCCTTCTGTAATCAAAAGGGCACACTAATTACAACCCTCGCCCAGAAAAAGATGCACGAGGACTGCCAGTCAGAGAACCCTGGTGCATCTGAACCCACCAGCAGCATTTTCCTCCCTTCCAGGAAGGGACCAACCTTTAAGCCCTCGCTAGAGCTTGTCATCAGCCTAAATAGGACTTCAAAGGGAAGGCGAGAAGGGATGGCAGTCCCTCCTAACCCAAGGAGGAGACAGGGCAGATACATTTCCCCAGAGTCGGGCAGCACACAGGCCAGGGGAGACGCAGGGATTGCTCAGACTCTCTTGCACCCTCTCTCTCTCTCCTTCTCTTCTGCTGGGGGGTCCTATGGAAAACCCACTGGAAAAGGAGGTGGGAAGTAAGCGACATCGCCCTAAAGCTCTCCAACATTAGACTGTAAGTGCAGGGGCACATATGTGTGTGTCTAAGAGCTCTGTGCTGCGTTCTTGCAACTGCAGCTACACTGAAGCAAAGCCCTCATTAAAACAAAGTGGAGACTGCGACCACAAATACTGTGTCCCATCCCTACTTCCCCCCTGCTCTTGACAGACCACTGTTAACCTCAGAGTTCATTAAAACGGTATTCCTTCATGCTTTGCTAATTTTCAGTTATTTTCAGAACGGGCAATAAACGTCTGCAGTGAACACGCCTGGAGCTTACTTTGCAAACTCCTACAAACTCCTCTCGCTCGCCAGCAGTGGATACTCTTGCTGTGCCCCATACTGCCGTGCTCTGCAGCAGATCCCGTCCCTCTGCCTCCTTCCCTGGACTCTGCACGAACGGGTCGGGAGCTGTGTTTGTTTGTCTGTCCCAGCCGGGCTAGTCTGTTTGTCAGGTGGGTAGCTAGAGAGCACAAGCCGATGCTAACCTCTGCACGACACTCGGAAAGGGGCAGCAGGAGGATCTGCTCTTCAGGCTGCAGGACCGGGGACTCGCAGCCCTGCTCTTTTGGTGTGTGACAAGCATGTGAGAGATAAGACATACATAACGTACAAAAAGGGTTTCTTTTGTATTTCCAGATTTCCTGCAAGCATTCATGATTAAGCCAGTAATAACCTGTGATGCGAAGAGGAACAAAACAGACTTGCAAAATGGCACCGAGGTTATTTGCATTGTTACTGCATTAGGAGCTGCTGCTCCAGTCCTGCAAAGACTGACGCCCAAGTCTTAAAGGTAGGTGCTGTGAGAAGTCCCCCTGGAGTCAGAATAACACAGAGTGAGCAAAACTCTGCAAGGATTAGCCAAAACAGGGCACGTGTGCTTTCAAACTGCAGTTCATCTGGCGTAGGAGCATTTTAAAAAAGTTGTTGCACATCTAACACCTTGAGCCACAATCTTGACTTTGGTGTTTGGATGCTTTCACAATACAACAATAAAAAAGAGTACCTGGAAAACAAATGTTGAAACCAATATTCATGTATTCATTGCATAAATTCTCATGCTTCACAGTCAAAATGAATTGTAAATGCCAATGACGTAAGTGACTGGTTTGTGCTTACATGAATATTTCCAAACGTATTTGGGCTGTATTGCCCAGCCCTCCTCATTGTGAATTACAGAGGAGAGGAGGAAAAAAGAAAGAAAGAAAGAAAAAGAAACAATTGTGGTGAAGCACAACCAATGATAGAGCCAGATTAATCTTTTTTCTTAAAAACTTTAAAAACAGCCTAAAAAAACCTGCAGGCAAATGCTCACAGAACAATCCTGTTATCTCCAAGCCTCTGCAGCAATAAAGTTAAATGCTATTTTTAGTTACTTTTCTCCTGCAAAGTACTGCTGCCTTCTTTCTTGATAGACGCCTCAGAACATTTTTGGTTTAACCGGTAATATAAATTCTGGAGTCCTTCCCTTGCCCTTGACAGCTTGTCTGGGCTCTGGCTAATTGGAGGCTGAGGGCAAAATGCTCAGGGTCTGGCTGAAGGAATCCCAGCAAGTCACCTCCTGCCATTTGCCAGGCTCTGGCCGGGGATGCTCTGCACATGTTTCTCCTTGCCAGCTTCTCACAGTATTTACTCACACTGCTTTATCATACTCTCACTATTAGGATTCCCATTCTTTCCCAGAAACAGAGTTACTGCTGAGCTGAAACCGAGGAGAAGCAAGTTTGGGTTATTCATAACTCCATTTCTGACACATGGTGAACATTATGCCAGATTATGTGAGAGTGTCGGAAGGTAAAAACTCTCATCACAGCACAAAAGTCCATTTTCTACTGCTTCTCCTGGTGTCAGAGGGGTAATGTTAGGACTCTTCTCTTACATGCATTGAACTTTGTCAGCCTTGAAAGACATTACATTAAGAAAAAACAGAAAAAAACTAAAACACGGTAGTGTTGGGATCAAATGTTTTGCCTGTAAAAAAGTCAGCTTTTAAGTAGAGGGTGAATTTGTCATTTCTGCACAGTTTCATTAATTATTTGTCACCCTGTAATAGCATTTTAATTTACCAGTGCAATAACAATGCTAACTGCTACAGTCCTCTCTTCTATCAGCTTCACGAAGAAACATCTGTTATTATGGAGCAGCCCCCTTACTTTAACCCATCTTACAGATACATCGTACACTAAAATGTAGCTCTGCAACAATCTTGCATTTTCTTATCTTTTGTATTTATCACTGTATTTTTTACTAAGAAAATATTTTCAACTGCTAGGATTTCTATTTATCTTTAATGCAAAGTAATAAAATAACTCACTTCATCCACACGACAGGTATTTTTCCTATTTCATCCTGAAGTTTCCAGTTTGCCTCATTTCTCTTATTTAGCCTTAATTCTTCATAAAAGCACACAGGGTGAAAGAAGGAGATACCTTTAATACAGCTTTTCTACTGTTAAATAGATATCTTATTCCCTCTTTCAAAAAAACCCAAAACAAAACAACTATTAAAGTGACAAAATGACAGCAACAAGTAGACAAAGAGAAATGTTAGAGGCAACTCAGACCTATTGTCCACCACTGCCTTTCCTTCTGGTGTTCCCCTTAAAGGCTGTTGGGTTGAGGGCGAGCCATTCTTCACGGGTTTCCTTCCTCCCCCTGCTTTAAGAGGGTTTTACTTTCACCAGAAATGTTTCTTGTAAAAAAAACCAAACAAAAAAAACCAACAAAAAATAACCCAACAAAAAAACCCCCACAACCAAACAACCGTTATATATCCAATGCAAATGTTGTGCCAAACTCTGAGAAGTGCCACCTTGGTTTTTGTCTTTCTGGGGTTTGAGCAGTTGTGCGTGGAACAGCTGCATCTCTGTAAGCCCGGGGCAGGTGGCCCCGGCCAGACACTTGCCACTCACAACCACAAAGCTGAAAAATCTGACCAGTTCCTTGATAGCCCGAAAATGTTAGTGAGTTCCAGTTTCTTCTCCTTTTACTTTTCTATAATGTAAAGTAAAAATCCAGTTCAAAACTGCTAAGTAGCTTTCCCATGTTTGCATTCGAGAAATAATTTTTACTGCCATAAAAAAATATTCACACCACTAAAAAAAAAACCCCCATGATTTCCTCTGTGCCCTGTACGAAGGCCAGTGGTTTTGCATCACCATCCATGACGTCATTTGACTCTTTTAGAGTAGTCTGACTGCAGTTCTGGCTGTGGGATCTGCTTAAATAGAAGTTCAACGTCTTTGGCTCTCCTCTTGCAATGGAAGGATTTTCCTCTCCGAAATAAGTCTAAAGTACCGTCCTTGCAATGCCGGGTCCTTTTAAGTCCCGTTGTCTTTCCCCGAGCTGCCGGGCCACGGTGGGCTTGGAAAAGGGCAAGGGGGGATCTGAGAGTCTTTGAGTCAGCACATCAGCTCAGAAGGGATCCACCACAGAAGGAGTAACGGCGAGCTGCAAACCAAGATCAGAAGCTGTTACAAACTGACCCGATTTCAGCTCTGAATGCCACCATGTCTAACAGGCAGAGATCTACAGGGGAGAGCCAGGGGAAGAAGAGTGAAGGACAGCTCTAAAACCAGTATAGATCCTTGCTTTTATCCTGAGGCTGCAAACCTGAGAACGGAGAGAAGAAAAAAAAAAAGGAAGAAGAAAAATAGGTACAGGCATTTAAGGACAGAGAAAGACAAACTGCATTTCTGCCGGCTGAGATCAGAGAATCAGTCTAAAGCATGGGCTCCCCAGAGCCCCAGGAGGCCGTGAAGCAAGGAGAAGAGCCCAAGCTAGACTGGAGACAGGCACACGTCCCTCCTGCCTCAGGTGAGGCCACTGCAAGGAGCCATCCGTGGCCGCGATAACCCAACTTCAGCACGGAGAACTGTCGCCAGAGCGGGCTTTCCTTGCCTCCGCAACCACTGACTCAGGAACTGCCACTGCTGGCTATGCCTGTGTCACCTTTCTGTCACCGCTGTGGCCTCACAGCCTTATTTCCAGGCACCCCACCGGGCACAGGGTGCCACTACCAAGGGAAAACCATTGCCCTTTCTGCTCAGCAAATGCAATTGTGCTTTCCTCTCAAGAACTGGGAGGAAAAAGTAACTAAGGAGAGGAGGTGGTTCATGAACCTGCGCAGGGTCTAGCAATGACCTGCTCTGCTGCGCCTGTCCCCGCTCCCCATGGAGGGAGCCAAGCGGTGACATTTGGGGTGGCTGCGTCCTGCTCCCAGCTCTCGCTGCTCAAGGCAAGAGCAGGGCCAGGGCCGGGACAAGGGTACCTCAAAGCAACCTAGACCCTCAGGGCATGTTTGCGGGTGCTAGAAATTCAAAGGGTGTTGGGAGCGGGGGGTGATGTGTTGCCCTGTCCCGTCCTCCCTCTCCCCTTCCTCACCTGCCTGGCCTGAGAGCCCCAAGAAGGGCACCCAGGGCAGAGCTCAGGTGTCTCCCATGGGGCTCCCACCCCCGATTTATCCCCCCCCCCAGCGGCACCCCAACCGCCCCGCCGCGGGGGGTGCTTCCCTGCTACTATGGACGGCGTGAGGGAGGCAGGGGGCAGGGGCGCAGCTGAGCCGGGGGACCCAGAGGGATGTCGAGCAGCTCTTTTTACCTGTGTCCACGTTGAGGCCGAGGCTCATCTCCCCCGCCGCGTTGGGGAAGGGTCCCGGCGTCGTCCAGGCCGCGGCGGCGCCCGCCTCGCTCTTGCCCAGTTCGCAGGGGGGGCTGACCGGCGTGGGGACGGAGGCGGGGGTGAGGCGGTGGGGGCGGACGGAGGCGGTGGGCACCAGGAGCGAGCCGTAGCGGGGGTCGAAGTGGGGTCCGTAGACCTCGTGCATGGCGGCGGGGCGGGGGTAGGGGGTGCTCTGTGTCCCGATGTAAGGGTGGTGGTGGTGGTGGTGGTGGTGGTGGTGGGCATGGTGCCAGGGCTCGGGGCCGCCCTGGTGCAGGTGGCTGTGCAGGGAGGCCGGCGCGTAGGGGTCGGCGGCGGCGGCGGCGAAGGGCAGCTCGCTGTGGGCGGCAGCTGCCAGGGGGCTGCTCAGGGTGGCTGGGACCGAGGAGGGCTGGTACGTGCTGTTCCAGAAAGACGGTGGGAAGCTGCGCTGGCTCATCGGGAAGGAGCCGTCTGGGTGAAGGGAGCGGGAGAGAAAGGAAAGGCAGCAGTGAGCACAAGCAGCGAGCCCTGAGCTCCTTTCCCTAGGGCTCTGCCCCTCCCCAGATCCCCCCAAACCAGCCCTCGCATTCCCTTTATCCCCCAAACAGTGTCAAACCCAAGAAAATTCTCCCAGCCGGTCCAGATTCCTTTCCAGCTAAACATCCAACACACCTAGCCTAAGGCTTACCCATGAAACTGAAAGTACTTGCTCCAGGTTTCCCTTAGCGTGCATTTGGGGAATAGGCTATTACCTAAGGCAGGGAAACACCTCCTCAGCAGTGGAAACTGAGTCAGAGCTATTATGCACCGCAGCAATTTCCAGGGTTGGATTTTTCTTGTTTGTTTTTTGTAGTAATCTCTCTGTTTAAGCATTTACGCCCAGCACCTCGGAGGATGCCCGACACTGCCGGGAAAGCAGCTGCTGCCTCAGCGCGGTTTCAAAGTGGGCAGGAACAGCACGAGATGCAACTAAGGGCCAGCCTGAATTTTCTAAACACCTGAGGGCAATTCTCCATCTCTTACACCAGACTGAGGCCTGTTTCTTGGGTATATTGCTAGCATATTCGGGAAGCACTCTGCAGATCTTTGGAGATTGGCAGGGCAAAGGACAAGGACTCTACGTGTTCTTTGCCTGGTAAGCAACATGCGAGACGGACTAGTGATTATTAATAGCACAGATAGACATTACACATTATTAATTGGGAGTGCACACTGTTCCCCAGACAAATAAAACCATGCTTCTGATACATGTTTGCCAGCGAGGTACGTCAGCTCTGCACCCTGGCATTACTTAGGAGAAAGGGAAGCAGTTCATGATGAGCAAAGAACTCTCCTCTCCTGCCATCAATTCCAGCACTGAATATCTTTCGCCCATGAAATATGTAAGCTACTATTTCATTTTTAGGAACTACTGACAGCAATTCATGGCGGGGCTGGGAAACAGGCTTTCAGCTGGGCAGGCAGCCCTGTGAGGGAGGGTCCCCAAAACTGCCGCAAAAGAAGTGCCTGCCCTAACTCACTGGTGGGCAGAGGATGGGGAAGGTTATTATTCCCCTCTGCCCTGGGTACCCCCACGGGCTCGTCCTGGGTGAATGGGACATGGCTATGGAGAACTGCGCATCAGCCATGGCCTCGGCATTGCCGGCACAGGGCCGTCGCCGTGGGCAGGTCTGAAAGCCCTCATTTCAGGAGTGTAGCATCCTTGTCTCTGCTCCAGCACCAGCCAGGGTGGCGATACGCGTAGGGCGAGGTACAGGGACACACGCAATCTGGTTTTTAGCGGCGGGAAGCTGGTGAGGTGGTTCCCACACTTGTTTTTTGCTTTGTTCCCATGTTTGATTACCACCGTGCTAAACTTTAAGCTGCCCTGGCAGGCTCAGGAGGGGAGGGTCTTGCCACAGCCACAGTGAGGGGGTCCCTTTGTTTGGCTGCAGCCCCCACCAGGTAAATCGCCTGCGCTGTAAAGGCCATTCAGTTCCCCGGGCCGCCTCCCAGGCTGCTTCTCCTTGGGCCACCGCAGAAAACTGAAGGGTTTTCTTCTTTTTTCCCCTAAAAGCGTCAATCGGCCCGGCGGAGGGGAGTAGGGAGAGGGGATGCGCGGCCGGTGGAGGGGACGGGGTGCTGGCCCGGGGTGCGGGGAGAACCCCGCCGCCCTCCGCGCCCCCTCCGCGCCCCTCCGCGCCCTCACCCCGCCAGGAGCCGGCGTTCCGCGCTGCCTTCGCGCTGCCCAGCGAGAAGCTGCTGGGCTGGCTGAGGGCCCGGCTGAAGTGCTCGTCCACCACGGCGCTGATGTCCCCCTGGAAGTAGGTGAAGAGGACGCAGCGGGAGTTGATGTACTCGGCCTCGGGGGGTCGCTCCTTCTCGGGGCTGCAGTCCTCCTCCTTGATGCTGGCCGCGGGGTGGCTGGAGAAGGAGCTGCTGGCGCCGGCGCTGCTGCCGCTCTCCGGGGCTTCTTGCATTTTGGAGTAAAAGGCGAGTTTCTGGAGGAAAGGGGGAGGGAGGGAGGGAAGGCAAGGAAGAAGATAGAAGCGGTCACGCAGCGCAGCAAAGTGCGCTGGCCCTCCCGGTGCCGGCCGGGATGCAGCGCCGAGCCCGCTGCCGCCGTCTCTCCGAGAGGATGCGAAAGTTTCCTCCGCGGCTGCCCGCCG